TGTAGGGCTTTAAAGGTGATAACCAGCACCTTGAATTGCACCCGGAAGGAAACTGGGAGCCGGTGCAGTACCGTACCCCCTGCCATTGGATGACCTCACCCAGTGGTTTCATGTAGATGTTAAAGAGGAGAGGGGAGAGACCCAAACCCTGAGGCACCCCACACTGCAGGGACCTAGGGTTCACCCTCTCCTCACCCACTAACACTGACTGGAACCTGCCATGGAGAAAGGAGGAGAACCACTGCAAAACGGTGCCTCCCACTCCCACTCCCACTCCCAACCCACAGAACCAGTCCAGAAGGATACCATGGTTGATGGTATTGAAAGCCTCCAAGAGAGCCAGGAGAGTCAGGACAGTTGCACCACCCCCATCCCGAGCTCTCCAGAGGTCATCAGCAAGCGTGACCAATGCCATCTCGGTGCTATACCCTGCCTGAACCCAGACTGAAAAGGGTACAGATAATCCGCTTCATCAGGGCCCTCTGAAGCTGCATGGCAACCACCCTCTCAACAGCCTTCCCCAAAAAGGGAAAGTTGGAGACTGGATGAAATTTGTCTGACATGGTTGGGTCCATGGTTGGCCTCTTGAGAAGGGGGCGCACCACCGCCTCCTTCAAGGCAGGCGGTACTATCCCCTCCTGCAAAGAGGCATTAACCACTGCTCGGACCCAGCCACATGCCACCTTCCGGAAGGCCTTAACCAACCGGGGGGGCATGGGTCCAGAACACAGGTGGCTGAGCTCACAGCCACGAGGACCCTGTCCACCTCCTCAGGATTAACCGGCTCAACTTCCTCCCAGATAACAGGGCTCAGATGTCTCTCAGTCACTTCCAAAGGATCTATCCAGCCAGAGTCCAACTCCAAGCAAAGTCGAGCGACTATCTGACAGATGCTGAGAACGTTCCTCACAGTGGCCCTGCAGGAGCTCCCCGGCTCCTCCTTAGCCAGGAGGGACCTGGTCACCTGAAACAGAGCTGCTGGAGGATTATCTGCAGATGCAGTAAGGACAGAGAAGTCAGCAGCTTTGCCACCCTCATTGCCACAAGGGAAATCCTAATATAGGCTTTGACCTGTGCTTGGTCAGCTTCACTCTTTGTCTGCCT